ATTATTATTATTATTATTATTATTATTAGAGTCACACATGGTGAGAAGAACCATCAAGAAAATAGTTTTCCTGGAGAAAACATGTCTTCCTGGCAGATGGCTTGGCCAGCCAGCAAGGATTACAAACCTCTCTAGGAACCTTTTCTTTATGGCTAGTGAGAAGGTGATATTGCTACTGACAGCACAGAAAGATTGGCTGAAATAAAATAAAGAGGTTTCCATGGTGATCCCTTCATATTGTAGTAAATTTTCATCTTGCAGTCAGCTGGGTTATGTATGCTTCTTCCCCTGGAGGAAGAGTCCTCAGCTCCCCCCACATTATTAGTTCCTACTGGTGCCAAGGAAATTCTGGCAGACCCTGAGTAAAGCCATCGACATGGACATCTCTGCAGTGGCCTTGTTAATTATCCTAAAGAGGTTGGACTGCCCAGACAGCGTGCAGGTGCTTTAGAAACAATCCTGCTTTCTGGTTTGAACTGTAAATAGATAAGGAATAGATATAAAGATGTGGTTAAAGATAAGAGAGGAAAGAAGTAGATCTCTTCTCATTTTACAGCTGAGGAAAGAATCATAGCTCAAATGGTGTAAATGTCCCAAAACCAGAGCCCAGGTCCTGTTAGAGGAGGGAGTTAAATTTGTAATTCCCAAACTCCGGCACAGAAGACACCTTTTCTCCCAAGGTTATTGCAGGGGAAGGCAGTGACCTGCAGAGAGCCCTCAGGCAGGGAAGGGAAGCTCTTTGCACTTGGGTGACCAATGCAGTGTCACACATGAGCATAGCAAAGGGAAGAGGCGAGGGATCCTCCCAGGCACTGGGCTGACAGGGGTGAAAGCTATCCAACAAAAAAGGACCTTTCATTTTGGAAGATGAGGAAACCCCTCCAGCCATCGAAGCCACTTGCTCACAGGTTCCACTTAAGTGTGATCTCTCCTACCGTGCTGATAAATGAGCAGCCAAGACGTGTCTCACTGTGGGTAGGCTCAGTGACGAGTTTCCCAGCTCGCTCCTGGGATGATGGCATCTTTCCATCTGCATCTGAATTGGAAAGTCATGAATGCAGTGCTAGTCAAGCTTTGCCACCCAAAACATGCTTAATATGAAAAGTGTTTCCCTAAGAAGGTGTTTCATTGAATGCAAACAAATGCTGCCTTAAGATCATGTTAATTTATGCTACAGAGCAAAACACTTCTATCTGCTTCATGCACCACAAAAGCAAAACATGGCCACATTCAAATATCTGTGTCTTTGTACTGTTTGCTGTCTATTACATACAATTCAAATAATATGCTGGAGATGGAAAAGCGAAGAAGGATGCATGGCAGAGATGTTCTGGCTACTGCAAGCTGCAACGTTCCAGGGTGTCCAGGGACTCTCAGGAGAGCAAAAAAAGGTGTATGGGGGTGAGCTTCTCCTAAACACCAAAATTGCTGGGGTCATCTACCCACTCCTGCTCTGCTGGGAACTCATCATAGAGAAAGATAAAAGGAATCTGCTTGAACAATAGGGGCTTTTTTTGGATTCTTTCTTATTTTGCTGTTTGGAGGAAAACTTACTCCAAATTGGCTGGAGAAATGGACCAGCGCTTCACAAAGATGTCTTTTGGGAGGACTCAGGACAAATGGGAACTTTGTTGGGGAAAGGAACTGGCATGAAGTTGCCACTGTGAGCAAGAAAGTCATCCCATTTCCCACTGCTGTCAGTGTGAATTGGGGCTCAACCCTCTATTAGGGTAGCTGCAGTAGGGCAGCTATAAAAACCTGTTGGGCAGCCAGTATTTAATGTGCAAACAGTGATGTTCATTAACAAAAAGCTATGATTCTTTCTGCAAAGAAAAGAGCTTTTAAAAATGGGGGGGAAAAAAAAGAAAGAAAATAGAAAGCAATGAGAGATCACATGCTGATCAACTCTGCAGAAAGTCTTACTTTAATAATAAATAAAAAGATATATAAAAAAAAACAAGGCATAAGTTGGAGGCTGTGATTGTTCTCCCAGTTCAATGCTGTTGAGCTGCAGTGTCTGCTTGGGGTGATTGCCCACATCTCCCCAGGAGTGTCATGTGGGTATTACCGGCGCAAATTTGCTTTGCAAATCTACCTTTGTGTCTTTGGATTAGCTTTATTAGCTCAAGGATTTTGGAGGTAATGTGGAGGAATATTCATGCTTCTATTAGTTAAGAATCTCTGCTTCTTTTTAACATCATACCAGCATGTCATTCAAGACAAGCATCCAGAGTGGTTATATTGGGGATTAGAAAAGTGGGGTTTTTTCTTTGCTTTGAAATAGTTTCTCTTAAAGTTACTTAGCTATTTAGTTGCTTGCCTTTGCCAGAGGAGCCTTGTAATGGTCCCCTACCAGCCAGTTTTATTCCCAGAAAAATGGTTTATCCTAGATTTCTTTATTTAAAGAAAAGGGAAACTCCTTTCAGTAGGAATGTTTGCCTCAGACCAGCCCTGTCTCACTTCTGCTGCATGTCCAAAGTACCTGGGACAGACTAACATCCTTAGCATGTTGCACCTTGTAAAGGGGACTTTCTGTCAAAGATCACAGGCAGATTCAGGGAAGAGTCAAAGAGTCCTCGAAGCACAGGAGGAGGGAAAGAGAACCATTTACATTGTAGTCAAATACACTGAAATTGCACAAAATTGTGACATCTGATCGCAAAACTATCTTTGGCTACATGGCAAAAGGCTTCAGTTCTTTCACAGGCAACACTTCCTGGAGATGGACAAGAGCTAGTAAAGCAGCAGAAGAAGAGATGAGGAGTGGGCTATTGCCATAGAGTAGGCCATAGTGGACTACTGTCATAGAGGTGATTCTGAACACCACACACATTTTCTTGGTACACTGAGGTGAAGCCAAGAGGGTACTGGGTTGCCCTTCCTCAGGCTGCAAAGCATCAGAGCTCTGCTTGGTCTTAGCACCAGGCTGGCTGCCTGGCACCCTGATGGATGTGGTGGCAGGGAAGCAGGAGAGCTGCAGGAGAACATTAGCCAAAATGTACTGCTTGGATGGCCCAGACCTCAGGGATTATCCAGAGAACTACACAAGGTAAGCAAAGTAGTTTTGCTGAATCTCTGCTTTCAAAGAAGCCCCGAGGTGCTTTCTGATGCCTCGGGGTCTCTGCCCTCACAGGCTGTGAAGCCAGAGAGGAACTGTGCTGCCTGCTCTGCTCTGGGAGGGGACTTTGCTGTTCAGGGGCACACAGCTCACACGGTCAGGGTTGGCATCCATCCAGCAGAGAGCACAGGCACCATGCTCAGAAATTCCATTGAGGTAGGCAGCCACCAACTCCAGCAACGTAGCACCTGCAGGAATTTGTTACTCTTTATTAAACAGAAAAGGGGAAATTTTTTTACAATTCCCATTTGTTAGAAAACGTGCAAGCACCTCATTAACTCCAATGGTGCGGTATTTTTGGCTGGCTGCATTGCTGAGCATGTGTTAAGCTCCGATGAAGTGCAAGAAATTACCTTTTAAACAGCAGTGGTGTCTTCTAAATGCAGTTATCGCCTCCCCAGCACTGATAAGGTGTGAAAAATGTTCTTCCCATCTACAGTTGTGTAAACTGAATGCAATTAGCACCTCTACATGTGTTTAAAATCATGACCACAGGTTATAAGTTTCGGCAGCCTGCAATACATTAGCACTTTGTTCCATCTTTGGGAATCGAGGGAGAAAAAAAATCTTGGCAAAATTAGTGCAATGAATACAATTAAGTGCCATTAACATTCCATGAACTATTTTTAATGAAGTAAATCCAGCCCCAGATTTGTGAACCATAGACGGGGGACCTTTTGTAGCTCTGGACAAGAGTTGCCTGCTGTATAGGAATGTGTCAGAGGAAAATCTCTTTAGTCCTTGGTTAAACAGCTCTTTTAATCTGAGGTGGCAAAGACAGGCTTTTCCCTTCATCCTTAGGCTACAGGCACCCCAGGATGCTGCACAGAGTGCAGGATGCACCCCCTTAAAGCGCTGCCTTGTTTGAAGGGAGAAAATGGAGAGAAAGAAGGAGAAGAAAAGCACAGTAGGTATTTTTTCCTTTGGTCCAAGTAGCCAAGTTCCAGTGTATTGATCATTTATTATATCCTTCTGAGGCTATTAATCTCTAACTGCACTGAAAGAGATCCTTACTATGTCTCTGTATGGAAGTCTCTGCTTCTCCAAATAATTATTGTTTGCAGTCTCCAAACTTCTTTTCCTACTGTTCTCCTTCCAAGTTTTGCTGACCAAAACTTATTATATGGAACGTTGGTGTAATTTGCACAAGAGCTTTGCATAATTTTTTTTTATGCAAACATGACATGCATATGGAAGGTCATCTTCAGACATCAAATACTTGCACTTTACTGATGAATATTTGAAAGGTGTAAATAAGAAGGCAATGCAGACACACACCTCAGTGTGATTGAAAAATACTTTCATCCCAAACACCCTTTTACGATAAATATTAAATGAATGATCAGTCCAGGCTATTCCCTGTGCTGGGACTTGTCTGGTCCTCTTTGCCCAAAACCATGCTTTTCAAGAAGTTTTGCTGAAATCACTGGCAACTCCCCACAGCAGTGAGTATCCCTACAATGGAGCTGGGATTGGAAGCTGGATGCAACAGCAGCAGCTTCTCTATCTCACCTCTATTTGTTTTTTTAAAGCCAGATACTGATTTTTCACTTTCAAGAGGTATCTCCAACAGCTGTGATTTTTCTTTTTTAAATTTTATTTTATTTCCCCTTTTTCACTAAATTTGTAATTCAAAGGGACAGATCTCCATCTGAGACACCTGACAGTGGATGTACAGGGCTTCTCCCACTGCTGGCAGCAGCCTCATGCTGGTACAGAGACTCTACCTTGTCAGGGCAGAAGGAAACATCGTGCCCAGGTCCTTTCACTCCCTGCATAAAGGGCATAAAGGCTTACTCAGTGATCCCTGCACAGGGCCAAATAACTTGTGGCTGAACTAGGGCATATCTTTGAGAAAGACACTCTGGATCTCACTGTGATCTGTTCTTGACCACCCCTTATTTTCTCTGCATTTCCACAATTCAGGGCAATCTGCACAGGAATAACTGCACTGAGAATGATTAGCAAAGAGCTCTCTGAGAGTGATGTCCTGGTTCTGAATGAAAATCCTATCCAATGAAACAAGAGAACTCGGGTGTCTAACTCAATGGATCAGTAGTTAGGTCTGGCTGTTGTAGGTTTTGCTGTCTCTTTGACTCTCTGGTGGGGCTGATATGAGATCTACAGGTCCCAGCGTGAAAATAATCTCTTGGGGAAACACACCTGTACTTTTTCTTTTATTAAATCATGTCTTTTAGCAGTTCCCTTACTGTGTGGGGATAAATGCTTCTCTGCTGTATATTATCCATGTGTAGTGATACCCCACAGTGTCTCAACCCTATGAGAGTGAGAGTGGCAACATCAGTACAACCATGCTCCTTTTATCAGGGCAATTCCTGCTGGATTCAGGCTCTAGGAGTCATGCTCACTGCTGCAGTGAGAGCTGCCAGTGGAAAATAGCATCCAAGCACGATGAGCTTGCACCTTCTAGGCAGTGTGGTGCAAAGGTCCCTGCTGGCCAAGGGGGAATTTGAGGGACAAACTGGCTGTGCCAAATTGTTACCTCCTCACCTCTCTGAATGGCAGTGCCATTCAATGGTGGTCGACAGAGTAGGTCAGGAAGAAATTAATCCTTTTGAAGGAAAAGTCCTAAAGCTGGAGTTGAGAAGAAACAAATCAGCACTATTAAGAGTAAGTGGATTGGGGGCTGTGTGCCCGACTGGGGCCTCCCGGCGCTGTGGCAGCCTCTCGCCTGGAGCGCAGCGTTCTGCAGTCCCACGCGGATGCAGCCGGGAGAATGAGGCACCGACAGCCATCCATTCTGGAAATTAAATTTCACTCCCTCGGTTGTTCTCGGCTCACGGCCCTGCTCACTTGCCAAAGGATTTCTGATCTCGCAGATTATTGTGGGCCGAGTCCAAAACCTGTGAGATCAGCGAGAGAGGCTCCAGCAGCCCAGGGAGGGAGCTGGGTGCTCCAGGGGTGGGTTTCAGCTCGCATGTCTCCAGCTGTGGGCAGAAGGGGTGGGGTGGAACTGGGAGCCTTCCTCTGCTGCTGGAGGGCTGCAGGTTAGCCTGTAAACCACTGGATGTTGTGGGATGCAGGAACCGATCCTGCTGTCCTGCTACTTGAGCAGGACAGGACAGGCAGTATTTCCCTGGAGCCCATCTGGCTTCCCTTCTTCCCTACCCCAGCGTGAGACCTCTCACCAAGGACTGAACTAATGGACTGAAGAGATCAAAGAATCTTGTTGAAAGCAGGGGAAGGGGACTGCAATCAGCTGTAGGGTGAAGCATCCCTCCTTGAACCTGGTGGAAATCCCAGTTACAATAGCCTACATCTGTGAGCTGAGGTCCCTGGGAATCTGGGAAAGGGAGAGCAAAATGTGAGCAGTTAACTGAGGCTGGGAGCGTAATGCTGTGTCAGCAGGCCCTGAGGGGACCTTCTGGCCTCAGAAGCAGAAAATTCCAAAAGCCAAAAGCATGATCCTTGCTTGTGAGTCCTGCTGGGTTTTCCAGTGGTACACTGGGGAAAAACAGTTAATTTAGGTTAATTGCACAATGCAGATATTTATAAAATGGTATCTGTTTAAACAGAGGAATGTGCTTTTTCCCGATGAGGTCTCTGCAAAGCAGCAGTGTGTCACTTGACCCAGGCCTTTAACTGGAACCATCTTGGCAATTTAATGAAATTAAATGTCTGGACTGTGGGGAGTTCATTAGTAAGTAATCCAAAGGCTAAACCTCTGCGAGCTAGTTCAACTCTCAAATGCTTATTTATGTTTGCCAGATCCAGTAAAGTGAAACCCCTTAATAGGCACTGGCAGTATTTGTTACACGGTCTCCTCTGGTCTGGAGGTGGTAACACATGCACTGGGTGATTTCATATTTCTATGTGAGATTTTTATGAAAAAACCCCTTGAGGACAGCCACAGGATCCTCTGAGTGTCATTGGGCAGACTCAGGTGGCTTTGCAGAGGTGCTTCTGCTGTTCGATGCCTCAAACCTCTTGCTTCTGGCAAAGCAAGTGAGGGAATCTCATTTCTTTCCAAAAAAGCTTTCAGAGATGGTTCTGCTGCCAGCAGTGCAGCACTGAACCTGCGAGGGACTCTGGCTTTCTTGTCACGCTGGGCCATGGCTGGGATTACGAGCTGTTTTATTTCGTGCCGTTTGCCCAAGGGTTTGGACCAAGGATGTAAAGGGGCCTCTGGGATTCTGGTGGGTTGTTAAAAAGGATGATGAATTGCTGCTTATTTCCTTTGAGTGGGGATTTAGAGGAACGAGGAAGGTACGGATCTTCCTCCTGCTGTGTAAAGGATTTCTGGGTTTTCAGAAGTGAATGTGCTAAAGTTTCACTCTTTAGTTCACCAGGTGTAAACAAGATTTACAAATAAGTGATCTGTGGCACCACTAAAAGTTTGAAAGGGAGTTCACTAAACAATAGTTGATATAGTCAAAGGACTAGCCTAACTCCAATATAGCTGAATTTATTTTTCAAGGTAGTATGTAAAGACAAACCAAATCCTGTATTGGCCCTTTGGGCTTGTCCACCATGAAAGCCTTCAGGGAAGGCTCTGTACACCCCATCCTAGGAGTAGCAGTTAGTTTTTAAAAAACTCTTTAAAGCTCTTGGTGTGAATTTAGTGCAAGTCCAACACGAGCTCCTTGGGCTGGAGTTGAAGGGCTGTGGATTAGATCCATGCAGGAAAACTTCCCTGACCTCACAAGGAAATGGAGTTTCTGTAACAAATCCATTCTGGGGGAAATTCTTTTGGGGCTTTACTGTAGCTGCTGCACAAGTTCTTTTAAAAGTAAATAATGCCATTGGTCAGGTGCTTCTTGCAAAGAAGTTGAATGTTATGGATTTTACATCAGTCTGAGCAATAGATATCCCAAATATTGTCAGATCTGCAGTGGTGTTAGCAGGGCAATTTTTGTTCTGGAGTGTGCAAAATGCTCCAAGAGTCTAGTAGATTTTGAAAGGATGGTCACTGCCAAACGAGCAGGAAAACTGTGTCTGGTTACTGGGGGTGCCTGAACCCATCTTGATTTACACCACAGCACTACATCTCCAAAGACCTTACACTAAATTAGGAATTGCCAAACACAACTTCCATGTCTTAAATTTACAGTGTGGAAAAAGACTGGACATTTTATCCAGAGGTAGGATGCAAAAGGTCTTGTGGCAGATACAGGCTGAAGCCCATGTAGCAATCCTGTTTTCTCTTCTGTGGGCTTGGGTCAGCTGCTGAGCTTTGCAGACACTTCTCCTTTTCCTCCTGGCTCGGTGAAGTTCGGTGGCTGGTAAAGGGGAAGAATTAGCCACAGCTCTAAAAATCTCCATTCCCAGCGTGGCGTTGGGAGAAGCATTCATGTTCCCTTCTCCATGGGTGCTGCACAAGCATGGGCTTCCAGCTACAGCAATGAGAGAGGTGCTTTTTCATTCCTAAACCCTTATTTCCATATAAAACAGCATCCCAGCAGTCCCATCCAAGCAGTCTTTGTGTGGGGCAGCCCTGCTCTTAAGGTCCTCACACAGCCCAGCTTGTGTCTCAAGGTGCTGCTGCAAGTCCTGCATGTCCACACTGTGGCCATGGCATGGGAGGCCCCATGTACACCTGCTCACACACTGGGATGAGTGGCAGGAGCAAAGTGTTGGTACCTCTCCCTCAGACTGGTGTTTTAGCAAGAGACAAGCGGGTACTGTGGGAAACCTGCCCCAAAGTGTCGGTCGAGGTGTGGGGTGCTCCCGAGGGAATGCCTGGAGCGCACGAGTTGGGGTTTGGGTGGGAAAGGCAGTGCGTTTCCCTGTGAGGGAAGCAGTAGGCAGAAGGGACAAAAGCAGCACAGCAACGACATCTTGTGATGCACAGTGATGGCTGCATGTGCCTGCTGCTGGGAAGCCCCTTGTCTGGCTGCCCAGCTGGAGCACTCAATGGTCTCCTTGCTGGAAGGGCAGGGAGGGTGGAGCTGATAGACAGGGAGGAGTGTTGTCCCCAGCCAGAGCCAAAGTAGGATTTTAGCAACAGCAGAGCAGGGGTGGGAGTGAAAAGGCTACAGAGGAGAGTCCTGCAATCACTTTTTCCATTTTTCTTTCAGTATGTCATTGCTGCAAAGCAGTGGAATCTCCCAGGTGCTCTGTTGAAGCCTGCACTTAACCCATTGCAGATATCTACAGATATCAGGTACACAAGGAACATTTCTTTTTTTTTTTTTTTTTTGCAAGAAGTATGTTAGTGCAAATATTCTGTCTTATGTCAGGGGATCACTGTGGCCGAGGATCACTTTGAAGATGCAGACCTCCACTGTATCCGAAACAAGCGCAGTAGTACTCATTCCTTCCCACTTTGATTGCACCAAAATTACTCCAGACTTGCACTCTGGGATTCAAAATTCAAAATTTCTAGTGGAAAGGCAGCAGCAAAGTCTGAAAGCAGGTTGGGTTGGTGCCTCACCGCTGCCCAGCTGCTGAAGAGCAGCCTCTGTAAAGTGCCAGCCCCGCCCACCAGGAAGACAGTTCTTTGAGACCCTTAGTTGAATTATGATCACTTCTGTACTGAACTAATGCCAAATCAGCACGTTTTGGAACTTGCTGGTGGATGAGTTTCTTTTTGAGGCTTAGTCTTTGTTCACACCAGTGCTTCCTTGAAGAGCTTGTCAGATGGAGGTCATGCTGTGAGTTGTGTCAGAATTCAAGGAAAGCCTTTGCATGAAGTCCTGCAGCATTCGGCTGCTGTGCTTTAGGCCATCACGAGCAGAAGGCAGCTCCTGTCTGACCCTTGCTGCATTACATCTCAGGGTGGAATTTTTAGAGACTCCTGCAGCACGTACCAGCAGAAGTGCTGCTGAAAGTTGATGAAACTTTGTTCAGAACAGCCTCAGGTGCTTTTGAAAGGCTTGTTCTCTCGTGGGTTTCTTTAAAGACTTGTAAATTATAGTTAATTCCTATGGCTTAGGTGTATTAGTTGATAGAGCCCAGGATTACGTTCCTGTCTTCTTTAGGATCCCGCCTATGCAGCCTGGATTGAAAGGTTGGCAGGGCTCAGGAGTAGCGGCTCCTGCCTTCAACTTCAATGTCCCATTCCCCATCCTGGAGGGACAGGTCTGCCTGCTACAGCTGGGACAGTGCTCCTCCACCACAAGAACTGAACATAAGATTTTGGGGAAAAAAATAAAGTTGATTGAGCTGTGGTCATCATAATCCAGGTCACCTCCAGCTGGGAAACTGTGATACTGGCAAGGCACCTCTGCAGGGAAAACAGGACCAGCTGTGGTTTTGTCTGGTTTGTGATGCCAGCTCCTCTCTTTCCTATGGAAATTGAGGTGCCTGTTGCACTCAGACTGATGAGAAAAAAGAATGCCAGCAGGGATTGTAACAAAGCCACCTGCCTACAGACCCATCATGCTGCTATGTGCCTGTGAGGGTTTCCTCACTGACTTTAGTTTCTGGGGTTTTTTTTAGGGAATATCAGTCCTTCCCATGTTCTTCACAGATAACCAGGAAGACGTACCCCCCATAAATGAGTTAAAAACCTGACAAGTTCCTATCTGACCTATTGTTCACTTTGGAGCAACTTCTGAAATTAGTTGCAGGTAGTGAAACAGCTGCAAGGTTTTATCTTCGTCATTGGGTTTTCCAAACTCCTCTGCTCAGAAGCAGCTCATTGCCTGCCTTGGCCAAGGTTTTGCTTCAGGGGCAGATTAAATGATCTCGGTCTGTAGGTCAATCAGGTAAAACATGGTCTGCAGGGAACAACAGAGGACTGAAGGTACTAGGTGAGGGGTGATAAAAGTATTTTGCAGAAAAGTCACTAGTTTTGTCTGAAAAACAGCTCAAAACATCATAGGCAGGGGTTGGTGTTTTCATCTGGACGCTTGCACAGCACCTTGCCAGTGGGGCTATCGGATCCCTCTATTTTGTTGTGGTGTTGGACTTTGGTGCTGGACTCCCACCAGAAAGAAGGCACAGTTGTTCCTGTCCTGTGGGCCTGATGGGAATGCTCAGCGCTCACAGGCCCTTTGCAGTATTGTGACAACATGTCTCAGTTCTGCTGAAATTTCACAGAAAAACCTCAACAAAAACCTTAGCTGCCTAGATAGCTCCACAGGCAGGTTTGAAACGAAGGGTTGTCCTCTCTTTGTGTGCTGCAGTAAAATACATATTCCAAAATATATCCAGGTGGTTTGCTGCTCTAAATCTTCCTCTGCTGGAGTGGAAAACATCTGTATAATTTAAGTTGTAGCGTCCTGGGGGGAGCTCACAGTAAATGGTGCTGAGCAGAAGACAAGGAGCTCTTGTCTATGTCCCAGGTCATAGATAAACTCTTGGTGATGATTGTTGGGTTCTGTGGGACTCTCCCAGCATGGTTGTCCCACCCCTTGATGTGACATTGAGTAATGGAGCTGTAAGTCAGCATCAGACTTTGGTTTGGAAACTATTTTAGGATTAGGGTGAGATTAGGGTTAGGGTGCCTGACCCACTGCCTTGACCAAAGCATGGGAAGAGCAATAGCCGTGGCTGCTCCCTTCTGTCTTTGTTTTCAGTGAGGATGTTTGAGAAGTTGTGGATGCCCCATCCCTGAAAGCATTCAAGGCCAGGTTGGATGGGGCTTTAAACAACCTGGTGAAAGTTGTCCCTGCCCATGGCAGAAGGGTGGAACTCAATGGTCTCTCATGTCCCTTCCAACCCAAACCATTCAGTGATTCTTTGCTCACTCCAGAAAGTGGCCTAGGTAAAATCATACTGGGGATGCAGCATGTCAAAGGTTAGTTGTGTGACCTTCTCTTTTTAATCTCTGCATACAGCTGCTGATAAATCAGGAAACAGTGATTCATAGTGGAGTTTAGCTTTGCACTGAGAAGAAGCTGGTACTGTGTCTTAACAGTGCCCACACTGAAGACTAAAACCGTTTCACTGAAATTGGGAAGGACAGTTGGATTGTTCTTAGTTGTCTCCAATGCCTGTGTGGATGGGTTTGAGGATGGGTGACAGTTAGGATTCTATATTTTAATGATTTTTCTTTTTCCCTTACACCTACAGATTGAAGTGTCTGCGGTGTTGTTGCTCACACAAAGGGCCACCTCAGAGCAGTGCTCAGAGGTCCACAGGTGCTGAGGCTTGCCCTTGGGACTGTGAGGGCAGCAGAAATAAATGAATAAAAACAGGAGAGCCACAAGAAAAGCGGTGAATAAGTGCACAAGGCATTGTGGAACAAAACAGGGCTTAGCTGACCCTGGCACACTGTTGAGGAGATGCCTATCTGGGTGCAGTGGAAAAAGTGCTCGTGAAGTATTTTAAGGTTGTGGCATTGTTCATCTTACAAAGATAACTGAAGTGTGAAACCCCTGGTGGATTTTTTTATCTCTTAGAATAGATACTTGCGTGCTGCTGATCGCTGCACCAATGGTGCTGTATTAATATAAAATATGTCAGCCACCATCAAGGAGAGATCGTCCCTTAAGCTACGGTGCTTGGGCAACATCTGATTCTATGAATTCTGAAAACAAAAAGAAGTCTTGTGCCCATATGAAACCACTTGGTCATTCCTTGGGCAGACCTGAACTCTTTGCCTGATTTCTGCCCCATCTCGTGGCTTCTCCAGGCCTTATGGGAAGTTATGTGAAGCAGCTCTCCCCACAGAGGGTCCACAGGGAGGGACTGGCTCCTGGTGCACATTCACCTTTTGTTAGTTTCCGACAAATTCAAACCAGAGGAGGCTTCAGTCATTTTGCTGCTCATGGAACTGACTCTTCCTCTCAACTGTTTGTAGAGAACTATTTGTATAACTGAGCAGGAGGAAAAACCCGCCCAAACCCTCTCTGTGCTGACTGCTGCCTATGAAAAGATCTTGACAACCTCTCCTGTGAAAAGCTCTCACACCTCCACTCTGCAGCGTGCCTTTCATGCTTTAGCAGGTGGGTAGTCCTCAGGCTACTGAAGTGCCTTTCCCTTGTCTTCTGTGCTGCTCAGATCCTGCCCACTCACCCACGCACATCTCTCCCACGGTGGAGGTGGACCCCCTGGATGCGTCTGGAGCCCTCACTTCCAGTGATACAGGACTGAGGAGGTGCTTGAGAGGCCCTTATTTTGCTTGGGCACTACAGGCTTGTCAGGTGCAGTGACTATAACCTGTAGATCATCAGATTTCTGGGGAAAGGAAGAAGATATTTAACACTGAAACTAAGCTTGGGCCAGATCCTCCATCCTTCCCTGAACAGGAGTTCAAAGCAATCCCTTCTCTGATCCTCAGTTCCTATTTCATATTTGACTGTTATAAAGGAAGTGTCATCCACTGATGTAATGGGATCATAGAAAAACAAAGAGGCATGAAATTATTTTCCGTCTTTCCCAGATAAATTCCTGGTTGTAAATTAAGCAGTTTACCCTTGTAACTACACTTGAATCACCGATACCTGCTTGAGTCTGCTGTTAATAATGAGGAACATTATCCAGGACAAACTTGCAGACCTCTTGGGTCTCTCTTACCAATGATGAATTAATGTCCTTCACAAGATTTTACCACGGAGACCCCAGGGAAGCTGGGAAAGGAGCACAGCATCAGCTGCTCTCATTGTGAGGGGTCTGGATGAAGTGATACCCCCATTGATATCCCCCAGTATGAGTTCTCCATGAACAAAAGGAAGGTTCCATTCAAAAGAAGATTAGGATTAGCATGGGATCAAGTTGTCAACGCAGGCAAACCTTGGAAGAGGTGGACAGACAGCTATCCTGAGCCAGCAGGAGCATCCCCTGGCTGGGCTCTGCCAGTAGCAGAGCTGGAGCTCAGGACAGGGTGTCCTTTGATGGATTGCACTAAGTGACCTTGCAAGGTGAGCTTTTTGTTTGTTAACCTCCCAGGTGAAATCTGAAATTACTTGCATGCTATAGCAAATGTAATCAGTTATAACAAAGCCAACAGAAACACAGGATTCATCGTTTTTCACTGAGTTGTCTTTCAAAATGAGTTTGAAATACTGTTTGTTTTACACAGTGGGTATAAATTCTCTTTCAAAGTGATTGAAGCATGGTGAGAGTTTGTCCCTGTGGTTTATCCTCCAAGAAGGCTTGGCTGTAAGACAGGAGGGGTAAGAGATGGCAAACTTATTATTGAGAAGAGAAAGAGTTGAGCTGTTCAGACTGATGAGTGCAGGATTGTCCAGTGCCAGTTGCGGGAGTCACTGAAGGTTGGATGGGGCTTTGAGCAACCTGGGCTAGTGGAAGGTGTCCCTGCCTAAGGCAGGGGCTTGGAACTAGATGATTTTTAATGTCCCTTCCAACCCAAATCATTCTTTTATTCTATGATTCTGACTGGTCAGGTATTAACAGGGTCCTAACAAAGATAACAGAAGATGACTGCAACCAGCAGGGTTCATGAAAAAAAAGAGGTTCTTGTTTTATTCCTCCAGCCACAGCTCTCCTGGCCTACCGTGATTCAAATTGGCTGTCATAGATTGTGGGTTGGAAGGGGACTTTGAAGACCATCTAGTTCGAACACCTTCAACTGGACCAGGGATGCAGAAACATTTCTGAGGGCAGCACTTCCCACCACAATGAAACAGAACCTAGAAACTAGATTTAAAGCTGATGTTATATGTTCTCTTAAAGCCATGTAACCTGAGGATCTTATTGTTAATTAAAGATACTTCAAGTATAATTAAAGATAATTAAGTATTCATATCTATATATCTATATATATAAAAATATATAGAGATTAGTTATATGTATGTCTATATATAGTTTTAATTAGTATAATAATTAATAATAAGTAATAATTAAAGATAATTTAAGATTATACTTTTTCCAGTTCTTGGGCAGTGTTGGTAGAATTGGTGTTTTCCTTTCAATCTGGCTTATAAACTGCTTGTCTCATGTCTTGGTGGGTGTGTAAGGTTGTCTCCAGGCAGATATTTGGACTAAAATGTTTCCAAAGGCATTGAGTGGCTCGTAGATTATCAAGACTATGAACAAGGTTGGAAATATAAAAGTTGTTACCCTGGTGTTCGTTATGGAGGCAGCTTATCCTTCCTGTGGGAAGAGATAGTTCATTCAGGTACTGATCTGGTGTTTGGCAACAACCCCTCAGGATTTACAAAAGTGAGGAAATCCCTGACATCCCATAAGATCTTACCGCTTTGAACATGTCTCAGGGCTCAGTTTTAAGAGATATTTAGTCACCTGGTGCTGAAGAGCTGTTGGAAGTTCAACTCTGGATTTCAGTTGGTTTCTTATCCTCTGGTTGATTTAACAAACGGGGTTTGTTCACCATTGTTGTGGGTGAACATGTGGGTTTGTGGCACTGTGAACCTCCACGGTGCATCCTGCTGAACGCTGCTGCCCCGGGCATTACATCCAGCCTTAGATTCATACGACTAAACCAGACTCCTGGGCTTTCCTGCATGCTGAGCAAAGCCATTCTGCACTCCAAGCTCTGAGCCTTTCTTTCTGCTGATACACAGGTCAGGTACATTTTTCCTTTTGCAAAAACTTTCAAAGGTGGGGAGATAAAAATATTGCCCCACTTTATGGGAAAGCAAAAGGGACGAGGGTCACAAGAGGACTGCAAGATTCAGGGACTGAATCTAAACCCATGCAATGCTCTTCAGTTTTAGTAGCATGTCCTGCTTCTGAGAGAAGCAGAAAATTATTTACAAAGCTATTGTCAACCTACCTGTTCAGACAAATAAGGGCTGTGTCTATTGCTTAAACCTGTTTTCAGAAGCACTAACGTAGTATCAGAAAGCATCAGCTTTCGTGGATGCATCAGGTTGAAATGTGGCATTAGTTTTTCCTATGCCCTTCCATTACCTTTACTTTTTTGGAAGCAAAAAGGTTAAATACCAAGGAGAAGCAATAATTTGGCACTCGTAGTCTAGTTTAGAAGAATAAAGCTGAAGCAAACCTTAGTCAGAGTTGGAGCTTGATGCTGATATTAACCTGTCTCCTCTTTGGTGGCATGAATGCTGCTGTAACAGCCTCATCCACAGCTAAAATGCCCACCGAGAAGAAATGGGATGCTGAAATCACAGCCTTTTCTGGGTCACCCACTCCCTCTCTGCAGAGGCAAAATGAGTCCAATAAAGCATCTACCAGGAATGGATCTGATGATGGCTCCTCACCCTCCCTAGCCACCTGGTGTTTCTCACTCTCATCATCATCCATCTCCTTATTGTATGTTTAAACCTCTCGATACTTCCACCATTCATGAGCATCTTGAAGAAATCATTTCCTTCCTGTCAACAGCAGTGATTATTATATTGTATCCTCTTCTTCAAACCTGATCTTCCACTATTTTCTCCTGGACTGTATTTTCTGGACATGTGCTCCTGCCTGTGCTCTTCTTCAGTCCGTGTCTTCGTCTTAAAGTCAATGCAGTGCTTACCCAAGGACTGCTTTGCTTCTTAATGATGATATTTAACCTGCAATAATCCTGCAAGAGCTTCTTCTACCTCATATCAAGGACAAATTTTTCAAATTTTTATCCATGTGTTAGGACCAGCCTACCTCTTTCACAAAAGCTGGAGTCAGCACGAGAGATTGAAGTTAAGCAGCATTTTTCCTATTACGTAAGATATTTTTGCTTTGGACTGGGGGTAGAATTAGTTCTGCATTTATCACAAAAAGAATGTCATTTTTCTGCCTAAGTTAGGAAAAAATGCCTGATTAGTCCCCTAAAAACTCCCAAGTGCCTATAACTCATGGTCATGGCAGACAGAGGGTTCAGATCCAGCTCCATAACAAACTGCAGTGGAAATCCTACCCTAATGCCTCTGATTGCTTTCAGATCATTCCCCTCATCTACGATTTAATTTGATCTAACTATAGCTCCCTGGCAAATGACAATTCATAGTTAGGTGATTTTCAAAGTCTAATTGCTCCAGAGTTTTCTCAGTACTTCAGAATTTCTTAATTGTATTAGCAAAGGTGAGGATAATTGCTGCTTTCATATCCTTGAAACTCCTCATACAAAAGAGGCTTATGCAAGAATCTGCTCATTCTCTCCAATAAATGATCTCTCTGTTATTAAGGAGCGTGTATTGAAGGACTGCTGGGAAGCATTCCACTGCACCATTATGTACTTGAACAAAACCTGAAACTTGCAGGTACAAGACTAAATTATAGTCTGGGGCAATCATCAGAACA